GGTCCGGTGGAGGGCTTTGGTTAATTCGGTGATGAACCTTCGGATTCAGTAAGCCATCTAGTTAGTTAGTTTAGTTACGTGGCAACAATCATCTGAGGGCAGACTTGGGGATGGATAACAAAAACATGAATCTGTTAAACAAAAACACAAGGCAGCAGAACAGCGAAGAAGAAAGAAGGGTGGTCATCCGAGAAAAAGAAAGAATTGAAAGAAATGAAAAATACCTAGAGAGAACAGAGAGCACACACCACCTAAGTAATGTTTGAGATCCTTACAATCACTTCTCATGCCCATGGCTAGGCACTTCTGAAGGCGGCAGTACTGACACCGATTTCTGTGGTGTTTAGTCACTTCACAGCTCTTGTTCCCACGACACTGGTATCCCAACTGTTTACGAATTGAGCGTTTAAAAAACCCTTTACAACCTTCACAGCTAATTGCACCATAATGCCGACCTGAAAACAAGATAAAAAAAGTATAAAAATGTTAAAATATCACTAAACTGACATAATTTGAAACTCTTTTACAATAAGTTTTTTTTTTAAATACTGACATTTCAAGTGTGTGTTAATTTAATTAACATCAAATCGTGAGAAATTTAAGGTTTTCATGGAGGTGACAAAGATGATGATTATCCCTTTTGGGTTCTGCAACCATGTGGACTGCTCAGTATATGGCAACGTTTCGGAGAAACGTACCATCTCCATCTTCAGGGCTGAGTTGACAATGCTGGGAATCAGAGGGATTATACAGGACTTCAGGAAGGGAAGTCCGAAGGAATGGGCCAATCACATCAATCCCAATGTCGGTGGTGGAAACTGATGTCACTGAAGAAATTTCATGACATGATAAGAAGGTGGGAGTATACATTGTCCCTCTCCCCCTCAAGACCTGAAGATGATGGAAGATACATCCTTTAAATCATATTTTTTTAAAAAAAATAATTAACATTTCAGCTGACCTTAGATAAAGTATAAAATAAAGAAATAAGTAATAATGCAAGATATTTGTATTCATAGATATCTCAGTTCAATGTATCAGGAAATATAAAATCCCAAGGTATTTTATGGTTTTATAAATTTCCTGTCACAGAAATGTTGCATTGTAACAAGCAAGCCATGATTTAAACTGACTGACCACGCACATCCTCACATTTCATAAGGCACACCGTAACTTCCGAAGTCTGCCCAGTGGTTGTATACCTCGAAGTGACAAGAACAATATAACGCTGCCAATCAATAACATATTAGAATACTTTGCACTACCATGCCCAAACCTAATAGTTTAACAGTGACTGTACCAAATTAAAGAATCTAATATCTGGCATTAAACTTTATTTGAGGCATATATATGCAGTGATGTGTTGTATATATACACACCTGATGCCCTGTCACCACACACAACACACAATTCAACACCCAAACATAATGAGCGCACTTTGTCCTGCACCGCAAGACCTGCATTCATATCTATGTCCAGCATTTGCTCCATCTACATTGGCTAAGCTTTGTGGGGAGCAAGGGAAGCAGTCTGGAAAAGAACGTAACAAGATTCAGTTATTCATAAGATAATATTTTTGCGTCATATTGTGAAATTTAATTAATTATTCGGTTTTTGTCCGTCTAATCACAATTCATATTTTAAACCTGACGAAAATGAAAATACACAAAATAAATGGGCCACTTTTACATATATAGGAAAAGAAACCAAATTCATAACAAAACTATTCAAAGAAAAATTAAATTAAATTAAATCCGTGGCGTAACAGCTCCAGAGAGCCAAAGCTGACTAGCTTGACTGCTCGCCTCGCGTTCACATGCCTAAGCAGAGGTGAACGATCATCCAACCAGATATAGGGTGACGTGTGGTCAGCACGACGAACCCCCAGCCATTGCTAGCTTTCCTGACCGGATTACGCTA